CAGCGCCCAGGGGCCGCAGCCCCCGCCCCGACCCCGGCTCCCCCAGGGAGGAAGACGTCGGAAGGCTGGTCTCCCTCCATCCCTCCCTCTCTCCCTTCCTGGCTCGCCATTTGAAATTGGGTAAGTCACAGCGAGAAGCGGACTACAAGTCCCGAGAGGCCCCGCGCGCGCGGAGAGGGAGGCGCGCAGCCGCACAAGGTCCAACCACACAGCGCGGTAAACCTTTCCTCCCCATGCCCGCCTGCCCCGCCCCGGGGCTGGATGGACGTCCCTCTCGTCGAATCAGAAAGCAGCTTTTATTGCCGCTGGCCAATCCGCGGCCCCCGCAGATCCCACCCCCCCTCTATTCTTAGCCCTGCGGGGAGCGACGGACTCCCCGGCCTTCGAGTGTTCCGTTTCCTTTTTTGACGGACATTCCCGCGGCCGAGTCAGAACGCCAGGAAGTGCAGAGGGCGTTGACAAGCGTGCCTAACGACCAATCGCTGAGCGGCACGGTCCGGCGCCGTCCAATGACTTCCCCGGGCGCCGCCAATCACCCGGGGCCCCGCCCCCGGCGCGTGACGCCAGTAGGGTGGGTAGCAACAGTTGCCCCGGTGAGGGAAACGGAGGCGCCATAGCCACGGTAGTCGTGGCGACCAAGCAACCCGGCAACGCGAATCAACAACAACAACCAGCGCCCTGCCGACCCCCGCCCCCGCCCCCCCAAGCGCGGCCCGGGCACCCCGGCAGAGGGGCTCCCCTGCCCACACCCCGCCGCGACCCCCTGCCGCGGACAAGCTGAGGTAAAGGCGGGCCGGACCCCCCCCACACACCACCCCACCCTACCCCACCCCGGGGCGGGCGGGCCATGGCGGCGGCGGCGCGGGCGGCGCTGGGAACCCCGGGGCCGGGACAGGGCGGTCAAGATGGCGGCGGCGGCGGCGGCGGCGGCCCGTGGGGGAGGGGGCCCGGCCGGGGCGGACACCCCCCTTCGCCCCGGCCCCGCGAGGGGGCGGAGCTCGGGCCGCGCAGGGGGCGGGGCCGGGCGCGGCCGGGCCAATGGCGGGCGCGTCCAGGGGGCGGGGCGGGGCCGGGCGGGAAGGTGTGGGCGGGGCCGGCGGTGGTGATGGTGGGGGGGTCCGGGTGGGGCGAAGCCCGAGGATGCTGAGCTGACCCCAGGTGGCCTCTGCGCGTGTGCAGCCTCAGTGTTGCTCTCCGTGAAATGGGGCGAATGGTGGACCGCTGCCTCCTCGCGCATCCCAAGGAGTTACCCGCTTTTTTTTTTTTTTTTTTTTGCATCATTCCTGCCTCCGGGGCTGGTCTTTAAACTTATGTGGCCCCCTCCCTGTGTGCGGTTTGACAGAGTCGTTATCAGCTTCCGCCCTGCCCGTCCACTGCTCTGTCTGCATTAGCTGTCTTGCTTCTGCCAGGAGCCGAAAGGGCCCGTCTTCTTTCGCAAGCAGCTGTGCGCTGGGGGCAGAGGGGGGCGGCGTGCGAGCCCCTGACTGGGTGGAGGAGCGAGTTAGGAGGAAGTGAGAGTGGCTTGGTGTTGCTGCTTCACCCGCGCACCCAGTGGGTGTCCCCCCCTCCGCTGGCTGGCATGTCACATGTTCCTGAGAGAGACTCGGTCCATCCTTCTGCCCCAGCGGGGTCTCCCCCTCCCAGGAACGTGAGAGGGAGGGGAAGGGGGCTTGAGGAACTTGTGTGTGTGTGCACCTGTGTGGAAACACTTCTAGTCGCTTCGCCAGGCCGGGCACATGTTTTGGTGTCAAATGGGTGGCAGTCAAATATTGCCCAACGAGGTGGCCGCCGGCTTCCAGGGCACCACGTGGCCGGGATGGAATGGCTGCCCGATGGCAGGGTCCCCCCGAGGATGCTGAGGGAAGGGTCCAAAGCAAGCCTTGGTTGCTTCACAGCAGCGTGGAGAGAGAGACACACACACAGTGAGTCTGCGTGTAGGGAGAAAGTGTTTGCCGAGTTGCCAGCCAAACCTGGACCCGTCTGGCTTTGGAGCTTGCTGGTGCCAATCAGGCACACCTTTTAAATCAATCAAATGAACTCCCAGTGGAAATGTTCCGGTTCTCTCCTCTCCCCACCCCGCCCCCGAATTTGAGATTGGGTTTAGAAGTGGAGGTTAGGGTGGGGGTGGGGCTGGCGGGAAGGGGCAGCCTCATTTCTGCAGGAATCCCCCTATGAGACTGGAGTGAGGGTGCTGGGCCTGTGTGCGTGCGCGCGTGCGTGTGTGGTGGGGGATGGGGCCACCGCAGGTGCAGAAATGCTAAATTTCTAGAAAGAGTAAGAGCCGGCAGGTTGCTGTCCCGGGCTTGTCACTGGTCTCGGGCCGGTGCAGGGCAGGGCCAGGGGAGGGGATGGCCGCCAGCAGGCCAGCCCCATGGCTGGCTAGGCCGTTCTTGGCAGCCACTTCCCCACTTCCCCTTCCCCAAATCTCCCTGGGACAGGCATTCCCTGGGGGATGTGTGTTAGTCTCCTGTGACCCCTGCTGGGCACCGTCTGCATCCGAAGGAGCTGTGCTTCCCCCACCCCACCCCCCAGTGGAGTTGCTTGCGCTTAACCTGGAGGGCGTATCCCTGAGCCGGTGACTTCCTGCTAGGCCGTCTGCTGGCGTGTTTATTTTTGTCATTTGGAGCTGAGCAGACAGCCCAGTGGCTGTCAAGATGGACATGATCCCTGGGCTGTGGGAATCGGGGTGTCAGGGACCCCCTGGCCGGGGGAAGGCTGGCAGGGGCGGGGACTCTGCCCTGGCTGCTGAACGGCTCCGGGCTGTGGCTTTTTGGAAGAAAATACCCAGAAAGGAAAAAGCCTTTCCTTCAAGGGCCAGGGCCTGGGGGACACATGGGCGAGCCAAGGCAGTGCCACACTGTGGGTGATCCCCAGCAGGCACCCTTCCCGGGGGGGGGGGGAACGGCGGGTGGGAGCTCAGAGGAAGTGACGCCAGAGGCGGCCATGGCAGAGCAGGAGTGGGGTGGGGACAGGCTGGAGGAAACCCTGGTCAAAGGCCGGGAGCGGGGAGGGGAGGGATCTGCTGGTTTGGCTTGAAAGACAGGAATGATGATGGGCCTGGAGCCTATGGCTCCCTCCAGCTCTCCAGCCCTCCCCAGGGTAGGGACCCACAGCCGACAGCCACACCTGTTGCCTCCCCAGGGTGCACAGGAAGCTGGGTGGCAGGTGGAGTAGCTGGGACTAAGCAGCAACTCTCCAGTGTGCGGTGCCCGGGAAGTCCTAGTGGCACCTTTTCCCCCTGGCGTGCCACCACACCTGCCCAGCTCCGGGCCTTGGAACCGCTTCTGGCGAGACACAGTGTGTTTCCTGTAGGGTCCCCTGGACTGGCAGGCCAGAGGGAAGCGGGCGGGCCCTGGCATGGGATGTGGGCCCTGACACTGACCCCTGAGCAGCCTGCCCGCCCTCAGGGCATGTTTAGGAAGCCTTGTGGACAGGTTGATAATTGATTGGAGGAACAGCCATCTTTTCTTTCTTTTTTTTTTCTTTTAAGATTTATTTGTATTGGAAAGTCAGATATACAAAAAGGAGGAGGGACAGAGAAAAACATCTTCTGTCTGCTGGTTCACTCCCCAAGTGGCCACAACGGTCAAAGCTGCACTAATCCGAAGCCAGGAGCCTCTTCCGGATCTCCCACGTGGGTGCAGGATCCCAAGGCTTTGGGCCGTCCTCCACTGCTTTCCCAGGCCACAGGCAGCACAAGCAGGGAGCTGGAAGGGAAGTGGAGCAGCCAGAACTTGAACCATCATCCATATGGGATCCCAGCGAGTACAAGGCCAAGACTTTAGCCACTAGGCTACTGTGCCGGGCCCAGAAAGGGACCTTTCCATGTAGTTCTGCCAGTCCATCACAGAGCCTACTTTATAGGTGGGCACACTTGACTGCTTATTTATTTGTTTGTTTGTTACAGGTTTTTTAAATGACCTGGGGTTGGGGAAGTGTAGGAGAAAAATTCAAGGGCGGCTGTTTTATGGCATGACACAAAACACAAACCCTAGCGCCGAGCCCGCGCTGTGCCCACTTGCGTCCGTATTGTCTCTGACTGCTTTCGCCCGGCTGGGTAGCAGCTGAGCAATGCTTGTGCCGTGCCAGCCCGTGCCAGCCACCTACCAGAATCCCCGAGCCACCTCCGGCCACAGCCGAGGGCCAGGAAGGCAGGTGCAGCCACAAGTGCTTTGTGTGGCAGAATCATTGCCGCCGACTGGGGTTGTTTGGCAGTCTCCCTTTGCTTGATATTGTATGCGCCACGAAGGCTAGGTACCACGTGGATAGATGGGGAGGAGGGTCCCTTGTCCCTTGTTTCCCCGGGGGACACACCAAGTATCTGATTGACAGATGGGACAGAGATCTCCCCAGGGAAGCAGTCCGAGGGGGGCAGTCACATGGGTGCGAGTTCAGGAATCCATGCCACAGGTCACGTCCAGGTGGCCGACACCAGGAGGATGGACGGTCCAATGAGGCCACGTTGGGGGCCACGTTGGGGGCCACGTTGGGGACCCCGCTGGCTCCCCCCTCCCCTCTGATGCCAATAGAGGGCAGTGTGGGCGGGGCGGGCAAGGATAGGAGGCCGGTGTCTGCTCCCTGCTTCCTGTCAGCACCTCCTGAGGCCTGGCACAGACAGCTCTGTCCAGGCCATCCAGCAGTAGCAGGCAGACACCCCCTCTCTGTCCCTCCAACTCCAGAGGCAGTAGTCAGGAAGTGCCTTGGTCTCTCCCAGAGCCTTGGTGGAGGTCCCCCAGGGCAGTGCCCAGAGCCAGGGACAACTCCTAGGCACTTTTGCCTGATGCCTGGCTCAGCTCCTGCCCAGGGGGTTAGCTCCAGCCCCCCAGACCTGCCCGCATCTCCAGGGCAAGTGAAGGGAGGAGTCAGCCGGAGTGGAGAACCTCAAGCTGAACTTAACCATGAACCTGGCTTTCCTCTGCTTGTTCATTAATTCTTGGTTTTCTTTCTTTTGTTTTTCTTTTTTTCTCTCTCCCCCACCCTTCTTTCATCCCAAAGAAGAGAAAAAGAAAAAAAAAAGCCTTATCTATTCCCATTTTCCCCACTGTTGGCATGGCAACCCAGGCATACAGTACTGAGCTGCAGGCCGTCCCACAGGCATCCCAGCCGGCGCAGGCCCCGCCTCAGGCCCCGCCTCAGCCACCACCTCCTTCAGCCGCAGCACCCCAGCCCCCACAGCCCCCCGCCGCCGCCACCCCTCAGCCCCAGTATGTCTCGGAGCTGCAGACCCCCCAGCCGCAGGCACAGCCACCAGGCAGCCAGAAGCAGTACATGACTGAGCTCCCAGCTGCCCCGGCGTCCTCGCAGGCTGCAGGTGCACCCGCCCCGGCGACTGCATCCCAGCAGTACATCGTGGTCACTGTGTCCGGTAAGTGCACCTGGGCGGGGCGGGGGCGGGCTCCAGGAGGGGTTTCCAGCCCAGCAGTCCCAGGTGGTGTGGAGCAGCCAAATCGGCCGACTGCTCTAGGAGGGCCTGCCTGCCTCAGTTTACTCACCTGTAAAGGGGGTCACTGTATCCTGCATGGGGCAGGCCAGGAGGGGACCCTCCTCTGCTTCCGGTCCAGGAACCACTTGGGGGCACTGTGGATGTGGGGGTTTGGGTTTGTGGGCGAGTCTGTGTGTCGCCTCGCATCCTAGCCACCCTTTCTGGCCATGGAGGAAGTGACCAGGTGTCCATAAGGTGGGTGAGCAGAGGGTTACGGCAGGCCACGGCTCCCCGGGGTCCTGAAGGCATGGGGCGCTGGTGCCTCTCGCAAGTGTGTGCACGGGAGCCACTCCTCTGTGTGTAAGCAGGCAGTAGGTGTTCAGGTGCCCTGGAGTGGGGAGGCTGGGAAAGGGGGTGGGTCCAGGTTGGCATGGTGGCGGCGGGGGCAGGACCCTGAACAGTGCTTCAAAAGCTTGGGACAGTGCCTGCAGGGGGAGCGGGCGGATGGCCACCTGTGGCTGCAGCCCGCGCGTCCCACTGTCCTGGCTGAGGCCGGGGCTGTGCGCGTGGCCTGGTCATCAGCACCACCGAGCCATCCTCTGCCCCTCTCCGCCCTCCCTCAGTCTCACTGCCATCCCGCCCCCGGGGTCCATCTGCACCCACAGTTCTGCCTTCTCGGTGCCCCTCCAGAACTGGTGCGCTCTGTGCCCCCCCCCCCCCCCCCGCTTGCACTCTGCTGCTTTGCTCATGGGGTCCTTGTCTATCCGGCCCCACCCCTCCCCAGGATCCCCCAGCTCCCGCCTCCCGCAGCGGCACCTGCTGGATTCTCTGGCTTCGCTCATCCTGGCTCCCTCATCCTGCATGGGTATGCTCCCCTCTGCGCCCTGCGCCCCGCCTCGCCATCCGCTGTGTTCCGGGGTCCCCCTCATCCTCACCGCCTGCACCCTGTTGCTTTCTGCATCTGGCGCCCCTGGCTTCACGGTCGTCTGTCCATCTCGCATCCTCCCTCATCCTCCTCATCCCCCCGGCTCTGCCCCCCGAGGCCAGCCAGGACCCACCACCTCTTCTGCCTGCTACGACCTGCTGTGCTGGTCCAGCCTCACTTTCTCCACCCGCTGCCCCCCAGTCCTCTCAAAGCCAGGGGCCAGGGGCCTCTTCCGGGTCTCCCCCATGGGTGCAGGGTCCCAAGGCTGTGGGCCGTCCTCCACTGCTTTCCCAGGCCACAGGCAGGAAGCTGGATGGGAAGCGGGACTGCTGGGATTAGAACCGGTGCCCATATGGGATCCCAGGCACGTGCCAGGCGAGGACTTCAGCTGCTAGGCTACCACGCTGGGTCCTCATTGTACAGTCTTAACACAACACGTGCTAACTGAAGCACCTGGGCTGATAATGTCACAACATGAAGTGTCATACACGATGATATCACACATACGCGTGGTGATGTCACACACGATGAGGTCACATACACATGATGTCACACCACAAAACGTAACACCTGACATCATACATGTATATACAGTGATGCCATGTCACATGCGTGACACGTAATGTCATACCGTGTCACTGATGTCACACATGTAATATGTAGAATGATGTCACGCATGATAATGCCACACACTGTGTCTCATGATGATGTCACACACACACACACACCTCCAGTTTCCCAGGAGGGCTCTGAGTCTGTGGAGTGACAGCCTCGAGGGCAACAGCTCACAGCCATCCCATGCCAGCAGCGCCACCCTGGGGGTTGCTGGTTCACGCCCCAGGATCCTCAGAGGGAAGGTCTGGAGCAGACCCCCAGCTCTCATCCCACTAGGAAGACCACCTGGTCTGGTGCTTGGGTCACTTGAACTCAAGCCAGACACTGCCTAGCCATGGGGCCCTGCGAGGAGGCCTCTGCCCCCACTAGGGGCTGCCGTGCGCCAGCCATCACAGAGCTCTCCCAGCTTCCTCTCTGCCTGCCAGCAGCATAGCCGTCCCAGTGGTCCTAGAATCATATTTTTCCTGCCACTCCTGGCCTGTGCCAGGAGCATGTCCGTCCCCCAAAGGGCCACTGCCCAGGGCCTGCCCGATCTGTCCGGAAGGGGACAATGAGGTTGGCTGGTGTCCTGCTGGCCAGGCCCTGCCCTGCCCCTGCTCCCCGCCCGCCTGCCACCGTGGGTAGCGCCCTGATGTCAGGGCTGGCCCGGGCCACGTGGGTGAGCCTGTGCTGGGGAGAGGGGGAAGGGCAGGCTAACTGACACCGGCTGAGGCCCAGGGAGGCCAGGCAGGGGAGGGGCCCTGGGGCCAGACCTGGAGCAGGTCCCTTACAGCCTCCTGCCTTCTGGCGGGCTCCGCCCTGATTACAACCACCGCAAGACCCTGGGAAGCAGGTGCAATCCCCATCCCACAGTGGAAAGGGGGTACCCTGGCACCCCCATCCCTCCCTCCCTGGGGAACGCTGCATGTCCCCCCCCCCCCCACCTCCTGCTTCCCTGCCCCTTGGGGTGAGTTCTGGATTGGGCCTCTCCCTGCAAGCAAGTCCTCCAGGACTGAGCAGTAGAGGGCGCTGTGGGCAGCCCGAGGTGCACAGACTGGAGCTGGCACCTGCGCCCCGAGGAGGGCGGACCCCGGCCCTGCACAGCATCAGCCTAGAGAGGGAGCGGGCCCCCGGCAGCAGGGGCAGCGGCCCAGCGGCCCAGCCAGGCCTGCCCCCGTGGAAACGCACCTCCTGGAGCGGCGCCGCTGGCTCACCCCCACGCACGGGCCGGGAATGGAGAGCACAGGCAGGCAGGCAGCCAGAAGGACAGACTCGCTGACCTGCAGCGGGGCCTCTCCTCCCTGCGCGGGCCGCGCGCACCTGCCAGCAGCAGACGGGGGCTCCCAGAGACTTTCCTTCTCCTCCTGGCACGTGACCCGTGCTGTGTGTCTGCCCAGCCTGGCAGGTGCAGGGGTGAGGGAGACGGGAAGGCGGCAGGTAGCTGAGGCCAGCCCAGCCGCTTCCTCCTGCTCAGACGCTCAAGTGAGCAGCGCCCCTCTGGCGATTCAGGGTCACTGTGTGTGGGGGCTATCTCCCTGGAGAGGAGAGGGCCCCTTCCTCCCAGCCCCAGAGCAGCCTGAAGCAGATGTGAGGGAGAAAGCTTCCAGCAAAACTGAGGGGTCGGCGCCACCTGTGTGTGGGCAGCTGGCCAGGCAGGTCCAGGGCCCCCCGGCACAGCAGCCTCCCCAGCACACACACACACCTGTGGGCTCAGCCCTGTGGGCCTGGGGGTAGTCATGTCCACCCAGGGCAGCCCTCCCGCTCTGTCCCCTACTCACCCAAACCCTGCTCCACAACATTTGACAGCCCCGGGAACCTGCATGAGGAACCCCATCTTCCTGTGGGCCTCACTGCCCCTCCTTGGCCCCATCCCCTGTGGACCATCAGCCCCAGCCCTGGCCCTGCTGTGCTGTGTGTGTGCTGGGTCCTGGCTGCCAGGGCCCCGGTCACATGACTTGGGACAGGTACCTATTCCCATTGCTGTATCAGAAAAGGGGGTGATGGAAGCTGTGGAGTGGAAGCGTCAGGGCTGGCACAGGGTTCCCAGGACCCGGCCCCTGGCCCCAGCCAGCACCACCGGGGCCCTGGGCGGCCCCACCCCTGCTCATCGCACAGGAAAGATGTGCATGAAATCTGACCTGCCGGGATTTGATAGCATCTCCCACCTGCCGCTGCCCCAGGCTGCTGCCACTGGCAGGGCTGCCGGGAGGAGGCTTAGCTCCCAAAGGCTGTGGGTATAAAGGCACCCATGCCCTGTTCCTACAGAGATTGGGGGGGCAGTGGCCGCCGGGTGCCATGTTCTGTGGCCCATCGGCGTGAGTACCCCCGCCTCCCAATGTCAGCCCTCTGGCTGTCGCCCCACCCCCACCGCGCTGACTGGTGCTGGTGGGTGGAGGGGGGTACCCTTGGCAACCCCTCCAAGGCCGCCCCGCGCCATCCCACCCCTGTGTTCACCACCAGTTGCTTTCCTGACCCAGCAACAGTAGCCCCGGCGCCAGTAGGCAAAGGAAGGGTCTGACCTCTGTCTGCCAGGCTGGCCCGCTCCCTCTACCATGTGGGCCTCCTGGTCGTGTCGTCAGGGCTGCCCCCTTCCCCGCTGCTCCAGCCCTGCCCCCTGTCTCCTGTGCTGGCAGGGTTCCACCATCCCAGGCTGGCTCAGGATGGAGGGGCGCAGGCAGAGCTGACTCGGCGTCTCCTCCCCCCCCCCCACAGAAGGTGCCATGCGGGCCAGCGAGACGGTGTCGGAGGCCAGCCCAGGCTCCACGGCCAGCCAGACAGGCGTCCCCACCCAGGTGGTGCAGCAGGGGCAGGGCGCCCAGCAGGTAAGCCAGGGTGGTGGCTGCAAGGGCCCACACGGGGGCGCTGTGTGGGCCTTCCTGCGAGGGCCATCTGCTTATTTATCAAGATGCTCCATCTGAGCCCACAGGGGCCAGGGCCCGGGCCTCCCCCTCCCCTGGGGAAGCCAGTCTGGCTCAGGTCCCCCTCCCTCTCCCCCTGCAGCGGCTGCTGGTGCAGACCAAGCCAGGCCACGTGTCGCCTCTGCAGCTGACCAGCATCCAGGTGCCCCAGCAGGTAAGGGCCCCGAGCCGGGATCTAGGACATGAACCTGCTGTGGGCTCGGAGGGACCCGTGGGGCAGGGAGAAGTGACCGTGGCGGGATCCCCCAGCCAGGACGGGCGGAGGGCGTGTCTCCCGTGCCCCAGAAGGCCACAGATGAGATCCAGGCTCATGCCCACATCCCGTACATCTAACCGGCTGCCCAGACCCCAGGTGGCAAGCACTGCCTCCATCCTGAGCCTCGGGGGGGGCGGGGAGCTTCTACAGGCTGATCAGCTTGGGCGGGGGCCCTGGCACTGCCCAGGTGCACGGCCTGCTGCCCCTGCGTGAAGGAGCTGTCCTGTGTGTCCCTCCACCCCCGGCCCTAGGCCCTGCCCACGCAGCGGCTGGTGGTGCAGAGTGCAGCGTCGGCCAGTAAAGCTGGCCAGGTCTCCTTGGCGGCCCACGGCACGCAGCAGGTGCACTCGCCTCCGGAGGTAGGGGCGGCCCCGGTTGCCCTTTCCTTCCATCGTCCCCCCGGGGCTCCTGTCCCAGTACCTGCCCCAGAGCCCTCCCTTCCCTTCCCACTAATTCCCCCCCAGGAACTCCCCTTCCCTCCCGCCAGGCTTCCGCTGACCAGACATGCCCCTCCCCCCAGCAAGGATCTCTACCCCAGCCAGCACCCCACTAATTCCCCCCAGGGTGGACAGAGCCTGGGCACCTCATACCACAGGGGGACTCTGGGGATCCTAGCAGTGGAAGGCTGGCTGGCAGGTGCAGCTGGTCCTGGGGCAGGGCACTGGCCGTGGGCTCAGCACCTGGGCAGCCATCCCGTGGGGCTCCAGCCCCAGGACAGCTGCAGAGATGCCGAGGAGGTATGGGGGAGGATGAGGCACGACCACCCCTCTACAGCACTCCCAGGCTGCAGGCTGAGCCCCCGCCTTGTCCAGGGGAGTCCGGATTTGCACATGGGAACTGCATATGCTTGGGGAGCGGGATGGGTCCTTGCTGGCCCGTGCCTGCCCCCCATCCACCAGCAAGCGCTCCCGTGCCCCCCTCTCCCCACAGAGGACAGCAGTTCAGGCCAACAGCTCCTCTGGCAAGGCAGCGGGGCCCCCCGCGGGCACGGTGCCCCAACAGCTGCAGGTGCACGGCGTCCAGCAGAGCGTCCCCGTCGCCCCCGAGGTGCCTGGCTGGGGCACACAGCAGCTGGGGGGGGAGGGTCCCGGGCGAGGTGCCGGGGCGGTGGGGCTGTGCAGGGTCTGAGCCCGGTGCAGGGTGTTGGGAGGCGAGGACTGTCTGAGGATAACTGCACATGGCGGAGGAAGCAGATGCGGCCCTGATCTGTCCTCGGAGAATAGGAGCTCCAGCTCGGGGTTGGGGGTGCTTGCCCAGCGCAGGAGTCCCTCACCTCAGCAGTGGAGCCCCCCGGAAGTCCAGGGGATCCAGGGTGTGACAGCCGAAACATAGCCCTTGGCATGGTCTGCTGCGCCTTGGCACGCCTGTGGGAGCATGGAGGCGAGGCCTCGTCTAGGTTCTGGTGGCAGAGGGACAAGTAACACAGTCATGCAGTTGGAAGGTGCCCGGTGTAGTCCTGGGCCATGCTGAGAGATGCCCACTGCCCACAGAGGCGTCTGTGCGCCAAGGGCATGACCCGCGCGTGGGCACCGCTACCCCCATCACCACTCGCTTTTCCCTCGGCAGAGATCCGCCGTCGTCCAGGCTACTCCGCAGGCGCCCAAAGCGGCCCCCGTACAGCAGCTGACGGTGCAGGGGCTGCAGCCGGTCCACGTGGCGCAGGAGGTGTGTGCAGCGGGGTCCCCAGCGGGGGGCTGGGGGCAGCGGGAGGGAGAGGAACCGGAGAGCTTGGGAGTTGAATCTCCAGGGCCCCCTCCCCGTTCTCACCTTACCCTGGGGGAGAAGCAGTTCCCCCTGCCCTTCCCCGAGGAGCCACCTGCAGGGCGGGGCGGGGCCGGCTGCCAGGTGTCTCTGTCGCCCAGCGTTCAGGCAGTTTCCTGCTAGGAACTTAGAGCAGTGAGAGGCCCGGCCCCACTCCAAGCTGGGCACCGGGCACTGAGCAGTGGGTAGAGCTGGTGGGCGTGCTGCCCCTCTCCTGCTCCCAAAGCCGGTGGTCTTGGAGCCACCGTCTGGCCTCCCGGCCCAGCTCAGCCCCAACCAAAGGGTCAGCATACCCGAGAGACCCTCAGGTGCCACCACGGGCTTCAAAATAGGATGGCGGACGAGAGGGGGAGGGTGGGAGAAGGGGTGGGGCACCAGGCCCCCCAGACCCATGGAACCGCCCCTCCCTCTGCCTGGCCCATGGGTCTGGGGGTCCTGGCTCTGACTACCAACCCCTGTGCCAGGCCGTTTTCACCCTGCAGACGGGGGATTGAGTGGTGGGAATAGGGCCCCCCTTCCCGCCCCAGAGGTCCTGTCAGTGGCTTGAGGCTGTGCCCCTATATGCCCCCCACCCCATTCCCAGGCCCTGTCCTTAGGGCCCTAGCATTCATTTGAGGCCCCACCCTTGCCAACCCAGACTCCACCCCTGTCACCTTGTGCAACCTTCACGCCCACTGTGGGACTCTGGGGACCCGCTGCGTTCCCAGGCTCCTTTGCAGAGTGCCTGCTGACCCCGCATACACCCAGCCCAGGGCAGGGCATGTGACTCAGAGCCGGGCGGGCGCTGGCAGCCACCAGATGGGGAGGACTTGAACAGCTGCCAGCCTTGCCAAGCAGGTGGAGGAGCCGGCCAGCTGCTGACGCTGTCACCCGCCCTCTCCTGCCCCAGGTGCAGCCACTGCAGCAGGTCCCTGTACCGCACGTGTACCCCAGCCAGGTGCAATATGTGGAGGGCGGCGATGCCAGCTACACGGCCAGTGCCATGTGAGTGGGCCTGCTGGGAGGGGGAGAGGGCTGTGGCGAGGGCCCGTATGGGACCTCCTTGGTCCCCTGGAGAGCAAGCTAAGCAGGTAGGACGCTCCCCCAGGGTCAGCTGGCCATCCCCGGGAAAGGAACAAAACTCAGGAAGGGCACTCTGGCATCACTTAGGACTGTGGGCCTGGTACAGGAAGGATGTCCCAGCAGTGGTTAGGACTGTGGGCCTGCTACATGTTTTTTTTAAAGATTTATTTTTATTATTTTTTCATTGGAAAGGCGGATATACAGAGAGGAGAGACAGAGAGGAAGATCTTCCGTCCGATGATTCACTCCCCAAGTGAGCGCAACGGGCCGATACTATGCTGATCCGAAGCCAGGAGCCTCTTCCAGGTCTCCCACGCGGGTGCAGGGTCCCAAGGCTTTGGGCCGTCCTCCACTGCTTTCCCAGGCCACAGGCAGGGAGCTGGATGGGAAGTGGAGCTGCCGGAATTAGAACCGGCGCCCATATGGGATCCCGGGCGTGCAAGGCGAGCAGTGGAGGGAAAGCAGTGGAGGACGGCCCAAAGCCTTGGGGCCCTGCACCCATGTGGGAGACCTGGAGGAGGCTCCTGGTTCCTGGCTTCAGATTGGCTCAACTCCAGCCATTGCGGCCACTTGGGGAGTGAATCAGTGGATGGAAGATCTTTCTCTCTGCAAATCTGCCTTTCCAATAAAAAAATAAATTATAAGAGAAAGAAAGCAACAGGGAGTGGTAGATGTGGAGGGACGATCTCTCTGCCGTCGTGGCCTGATGGTTCAGCAGCCCGGAGGCACCCGGGCAGTTAGAGACGCCACATCCCTCGCTCTGTCCACAAACCGTCCTGCGCCCAGCCGGTTCTCTCAGCGCATCCCCCCGGCTGGCCAGGTCACCACGGGGGTATCAAGGGGTTCACGTCCTTGGGCTATCTCCCAAGCCCTGACTCCCCCAAGGAGTTTTAGTGGGGAGCGCCTCCAGCAGGTGCTGGAACTGGGAGCATCCCCACGGGTCTGCAGCGTGTGATATGCCAGCACGCGTGGGGGCGTGCCAGCTTCTTCAGCGAGGCCACGCAACCTGTCCCTAAATTCCCATGCCCTCAAACCTCACTTCCACCCCCACGAGCACCTAGGGTGCGCCCCGGCTCCAAGGAGGTGCACCCTCGCAGAGTGCTCCCTGCTCCCCACCCCCTCACCCCACAGTTCTCACTCTGCACCCGTACCCACCCGACCCCTCTGTTTCTCTTCCCAGCCGCTCCAGCACCTACCCGTACCCCGAGGCGCCGCTCTACACGCAGACGCCGGGCACCGGCTACTACGAGGCGGCCGGCCCGGCCGCCCAGGTCAGCACCCCCGCCACCTCGCAGGCCGTGGCCCCCAGCAGTTCCGTGCCCATGTATGTCTCTGGCAGCCAGGTGGTTGCCAGTTCCACCAGCAGCGGCGGCGTTGCCAGCAGTGGCAGTGGCGGTGGCGGCGTCGCCAGCAGTGGCAGCAGCGGCGGTGGCGGCGGCGCGGGAGGAGGAGGTGGTGGGGGTGGCAGCGGCGGGGGCAGCGGCAGCAGCGGAGCGGGCACCTACGTGATCCAAGGCGGCTACATGCTGGGCAACGCCAGCCAGTCTTACTCCCACACCACCCGTGCCTCGCCAGCCACGGTGAGTGTGCGTGGGGGGCGGGGCAGAAAGGGCGCAGGAGGGGGTCCACTGTGTGGCCTCTGATACGGCTACCTGGCTGGGCAAGCAGGGGCCCCGGCTGGCCTTGCCCAGGGGGGTGTGGCCTCCATTGTGGGGGTCACCAACGGGCAGCAGGGGTCGGGAGGCTGCCCATAAAGCAGGCACCATCGCTGTGCCTGCAGGAAGCCACAGGGAAGACCCCTGGGCTGGGGACAGGCAAGCTGGTGCCGTGGGTCAAGCCACTCCTCCCACATTGGAGCATGGGTTCCAGTGCCGGCTGCTCCACTTCCCACGCGTCTGGCTCCCTGCTGAGTCGTTGGAAAGGAAGAGGAGGGTGGCAGAAGTGTTTGTGTTCTTGCGCCCCTGTGGGAGACCCTTCCTGGCTTCGGCCCGGCCATCTGGGGGATGAGGGGAAGGAATCCGGCAATGAAAGCTCTGTATCTCCCTCTCCCTCTCAGATAAACAGATCTTGGAAAAAAAAAAGTTTAAAAAGCCAGGTTCTGAAGGTGACATGGTGGATGAGCACCGTGTGTAGAACATTCTGGAAATGATGACATGGCGTAGATGGAGAACAGATGTGCGGCTGCTGGGAGGGGGCTGAGGAAGCAGGTGTCTCGCTGTCCGGGGACCCTTCTGGTGGATGGCGCTGCTTTGCGTTGTTTTAGTAGGAGAGAGGGGGCAGAGCGCCCACCCACTGATTCACTCCGCCCTGCCCACGGGGCCACTGCAGAACCGGCACGCCATCCGGGTCCCCCGTGGGGGTAGCCAGGCCCCAGGAGAGGGGCGTCGGCACAGCCTGTGTGTTCTCTTGCCCACTGTCACATGTGTGGGCTGCGGGAAGACGTGGGACTCTTCATTCCCAGGATGTTAACCTGCCTGCCAAGAGGCAGGGAAAGAGGCTTGCTCCCAGGATGGCCAGGTCAAAGCCAGGAGCCAGGAGCCTCCTCCGGGTCTCATATGTGGATCCAGGGCTTAAGGCCGTCCTCCACTGCTTTCCCAGGCCACAGGCAGGGCGCTGGGTGGGAAGTGGAGCAGCCGGGACACTGCCAAGCAGAGCTCTCCTAAGAGAAGTGGGTGTGGCAGTAATGCATGAACTTGGCTTGTCGTGTTGATAGCCGCACAGGGGGAGTGGCACCTGGATGGGGCAGTGCTGGGTTCTCGAAAGTCAGGGGGGATGGAGATGCCACGCTGCTTCTGACGGGTTCTCGTCCTGCCTGGAGGAGGATGGGCAGAGCCGGGGCATGCCCAAGGAAGCGGGATTCGCTCTGAGCGGCTCGCTCTCTCCTCTCCCCGGCCCAGGTTCAGTGGCTCTTGGACAACTACGAGACGGCCGAGGGCGTGAGTCTGCCGCGCAGCACGCTCTACTGCCACTACCTGCTCCACTGCCAGGAGCAGAAACTCGAGCCGGTCAACGCCGCCTCCTTTGGCAAGCTCATCCGCTCCGTGTTCATGGGCCTGCGGACCCGGCGGCTGGGCACTAGGTGGGGCACCCCTGCCCCGCTCCTGCCCCGGGCCTGTGGCCCTGGCTGTGCCCGCCCTGCCCTGGCCTGGCTAGCGCCCTTCAGCGTGCCTCTTTGGGGATGTTGTTTCACTTTTGTATGTGTTTTTCTGTGGCTTCATTTGTCTCCCATCTGCCCTGACTGTGCAGGGCTGCCCCCCACACACAGCAGGTGCTTCGGTGACTAGGACTTGGCCCCGCACCCTGCCCTTGTCCTCCCCCAGGCCCTGTGCCTCCTCGAGGCTCAGCCCGCCCATCCTCCAGGTGCCAGCTTAGGTGCCACCTGGTTCATTCCCCGCCTCCAGCAGAGTTCCTCATCTCCCTCAGGGCTGTTAGGAATCCTCCCTGTCCCTTGTGATTGTTGAGGGAGGCAGACTGCCCCTGCCCTTCCTATCACGGAGGGAGACCCCCGTGTATGTGTGTGTGGGGGGCTCTCCTGGCACCCTTCAGGCCTCCCTCCCCACCTCCAGCTAGGTAGAATAGGCTGCCCCTTGTCACTTACCCTGCATCTCCCTCCCAGGGGCAACTCCAAGTACCACTACTACGGCCTGCGCATCAAGGCCAGCTCCCCACTGCTGCGGCTCATGGAAGACCAACAGCACATGGCCATGCGCGGCCAGCCCTTCTCCCAGAAGCAGAGGTGAGAGAGGGGTGAGGGCCGCAGCCCCGGGCCCCCCCAGCCTAGCCCCGCCCCCAGCCAACACCGCATCCTCACCGCCACCACCCCGCGCCCCTCCTGCAGGCTCAAGCCCATCCAGAAGATGGAGGGCATGACCAATGGCGTGGCCGCGGGCCAGCAGCAGGCCCCGGGGCTGGCGGACATCAGTGCGCAGGTGCAACAGTACCAGCAGTTCCTGGGTGAGCGCCGCTGGGGCAGGGGCATGCGCAGTGTGGCAGGCGCGGTGTATGGCGAGGGAAGGGGTGACCCAGACCCTTGCCTCATTGTCTTGAAGTCCAAGGCTTCCGTGAGTTGGGCCTCCCGTGCCCCTCCCACTCGGCAGGACCACGCCGCCCCTCGCTGCCGTCCCACCACCTCGAGGGGTCCCCCCTCCCTGAGCAGGATCCCCTGGCAAGGCGCGGGGGGCAGGCCCTCATGCTGCTCCCCGCACCTCTAGATGCGTCGAGGACCCTCCCTGACTTCGCAGAGCTGGAGCTGCAGGGCAAAGCGCTCCCCGAGGGTGTGGGGCCAGGCGACGTGAAGGCCTTCCAGCTCCTGTACCGGGAGCACTGCGAGGTAGGACGGCTCGGGCCAGCTGGTGGGTGCGGGGCTGGACGCGCAGGAGGGGCCACGCCCTGAGTGTCTGGCCTCCCCTAAGGCCATCGTGGACGTCATGGTGAACCTGCAGTTCACACTGGTCGAGACCCTGTGGAAGACCTTTTGGAGGTACAACCTCAGCCAGCCCAGCGAGGCGCCTCCGCTGGCCGTGTGAGTCCCGCGTCGGACTGGAGGGAGGACGGGGCTAGGCCCCTGCGCACGCACGGCCTCCCAGGCGCCTGCCCCGCATCTGTCCATTGTGCATCTCTGCATCCACCTCTTGCTGGCCCTGAGGCTGGTGGTCCGCGCCCCTTGTGTCCTCCTGGCATCCTGGGTGGAGGATACTACCCTGTGCGTGTAGGGGGTGCCAGCCCACATGCTCCCCGGGCCTGTGGCCCCATGTGACCCCTGGGCCGGGGGTGGGGGGGCGCCTGCAGGCACGACGAAGCTGAGAAGCGGCTGCCCAAAGCCAGCCTGGTGCTGCTGTCCAAGTTCGAGCCCGTGCTGCAGTGGACCAAGCGCTGTGACAACGTGCTCTACCAGGGCCTGGTGGAGATCCTCATCCCCGACGTGCTGCGGCCCATCCCCAGTGAGTGGCACCCGCGCGCTGCCCGGCCCTGCTCGCCCCTCGGCCAGCCCCTACACTCAGTGTGCCCCCCCCCGTCCCCGCCCGCAGGTGCCTTGACCCAAGCCATCCGCAACTTCGCCAAGAGCCTGGAGAGCTGGCTCACCCACGCCATGGTCAACATCCCCGAGGAGATGCTGCGGGTGAAGGTGAGGGCTGGTCTGAGCAGTGCGCCCACCCCGCACCCCGGGCTGGCACAGCGGTGGCTTGTCTACCCAAACGCCTTACCCCTGCGGGATGGGGGTGCTGGCTGGGGAGGGGGTGTCCAGGAGCCAGAGTCTTAATTCCTGCCACGTGGGTGGTAGGGACCCTGATCCCTGAGCCAACATCACCCGCCACCTCCCAGGGCACCCCTATGTGGGATGCTGTATCCCCTGCGGAGTGGGCTGGACCCTCCTGCCCTGCTGCCAGCAAAACCTCTCAGAGAAGGAGGCAGAGTTCCTGAGCAGGGGCGGGGGGTGTGGACACAGACACTGGAGGGCCCGCAGCACGTAGGCTGCGTGGAAGCCGCCAGCCGTGTCCGCACACCCCCGCACCCAGGTGGCAGCCGCCGGTGCCTTCGCGCAGACCCTGCGGCGCTACACGTCCCTCAACCACCTGGCGCAGGCGGCGCGCGCTGTGCTGCAGAACACGGCGCAGATCAACCAGATGCTCAGCGACCTCAACCGCGTGGACTTCGCCAACGTGCAGGTGCGCGGCTCAGGGCGGGGGTCCGGGAGCCCCCGGGACGGGTTTGTGGCAGCGCAGCCGGAGTCCCTGGGGTCGCAGGGCGCTGTGGAGCCCCCCCGCCCACCGCCACGCCTGCCCCCTGCGCCCCCAGGAGCAGGCGTCGTGGGTATGTCGCTGCGAGGACCGCGTGGTGCAGCGGCTGGAGCAGGACTTCAAGCTGACGCTGCAGCAGCAGAACTCCCTGGAGCAGTGGGCCGCCTGGCTGGACGGCGTGGTCACGCAGGTGCTCAGGCCGTACCAGGGCAGCGCCGGCTTCCCCAAGGCCGCCAAGCTCTTCCTCCTCAAGTGGTCCTTCTACAGGTGCGCGGCGGCGGCAGGAAGGGGGGCCGAGCCGGAGGACAGCCCCTCCCCGGGCCGGGGGCTCCGCGCCCCGTCCCCTGGCGCCTCTGACGGCCGCCCCGCCTCCTCCGGCCCCCAGCTCCATGGTGATCCGGGACCTGACCCTGCGCAGCGCTGCCAGCTTCGGCTCCTTCCACCTCATCCGGCTGCTCTACGACGAATACATGTACTACCTGATCGAGCACCGCGTGGCGCAGGCCAAGGGCGAGACGCCCATCGCCGTCATGGGCGAGGTGCGCGCGGTGGGGCCGGGGCGGCGGGGCCGCGGCGGGCGGGGGGCGGCGGAGCCCCTCATCTCCCGGCCTCTCCCCAACCCCCTTGCAGTTCGCCAACCTGACCACGTCGCTGAACCCGCTGGACCCCGACAAAGGTGGGCGGGTGCGGGGAGCTGGGGGTGCGGGGAGCTGGGGGTGCGGGGCGCTGGGGCTGTGGGGAGCCGGGGGTGCGGGGAGCTGGGGGTGCGGGGCGCCCTCCCCGCACTCAGCCGCGGTTGCTCCCTGTGCCCCAGACGAGGAGGAGGAGGAGGAGGAGGACAGCGAGGACGACCTGCCGCAGGACATGGCGCTGGCAGCCGGCGGCCAGTCGCCCGCGCTGGGCCCCGAGAGCCTGCAGCCGCCGGCCAAGCTGGCGCGGACTGACGCGCGGGGGCTCTTCGTGCCCGCGCTGCCCACCAGCTAAGCCGCACCCCGGCACCGACCCTGCCGCCCCTCCGTCGCCGCGCACCCCCCACCCCAGGGCTGGGGCGGGGCCGCAGCTGCGAACTGACACAGAGTGCCTTAAGGAACCGCCGCCGTGCCCAGTGCCCTGCGCCCCATGGGGGGCCAGCCCGGGGGGGCAGGCAGGCCCCCTCCCCTGCGGACCCCATTAACTTATTCTGCTCGCTGGCTTTGCACACCCTGTCCCGGGCCGGGCCCTAGCCCCTGCGGGGGCGAGTGTAGGTGGGCATCTTGGAGACCCCCGCCAGGAGCAGCAGCAGCCGCCCCCGCACCCCCTTCCCACTGCTTCCCCCTCTGGCATAAGTGCAATTAAAGCTTATTTTTTCTCCTTTACCCCATTTCCTTTCCCTTCCATATTTAATTTTACATCTTATTCATTTTACCTTTATTCCCCCCCATTACCCCTTTTCTTCCAAATAATTTTCCTTAGTTCCATTCTTTTACATATCTTTACCCTCCCCCCCCTCCCTTCTTCCTCATCATAACCCCAACCCATCCCAACCTTTTTTTATTACATCACCCCCTCCCACCCTCTCCCCTCTCCCCACCGTTTATTTTTTTATTTTTTTCTACCCCCCCACTCTCACCCAACCCATCTTTCCTTTTCCTTCCCTCCCCCCATATCATTTCCCCACCCCAATACACCCCTCCCTTCTTTTTGACTCCACCCTTCCCATACCATCTCCCCACCCCACCCAATCTATACATTATCTCAAATATATATCCTCCACCTCTTTTTATTTTCACAACATAAATATAAAAAAATATAACCACCAAACATTTCCCCAACTCCTAACCCTTAACTTATAATCATCCCATATCTAATCCCCCCACTTCTATCCACCCCACTTATCTCTCCCATCATCTTATTTCCTATTCCCCTCTATAATACTAACTATATCCTCTCCTTAAAAACCAAAATAATACAAACAAACACACCCAACATACTATCCCAATTAAATTTTCAATCCTTTCTTTTTCCCTTCCATTATCTATTTCTCCAAGGAACGCATTTATTACGGGGGGCGGCTGAGGGGCAGTGCGCCGAGCTCCGGGAGGCAGGCTGGGGTGTCCCTCCCCGACTTAAATAGGCATAAATAAGAAAGGTCCAGACGCGGCCCCCAGGGGCTGGGGGTCTGCCCCGCCGGCCCTGCCCGCGGGCTCGCACTGGTGCCGGGCAGTGGCGGCCTGTGGCCGGCCGGGAGGAGGCGACCCGGCCGCGGAGGTAGTTGGCGGCAGTGTCCCAGGCTGGTGGCCCTCACAGCACGATCCACGTGTAGCGCTCGCTGTCCGCCAGCACCTTGAGGGAGCAGCCTGCGGGGCAGGGGACGATGACCGCACCTGCCCGCCGGTCGGCCCGCACCCTGTGCCCGCACCCGCCCTGCCCACCTCGGTGCAGCGCCTCGTTGGTCATCCGGTTCACGTAGCGGCCGCTGCTTTCCGGCACCAGCCACTTCATGACCATGTCCACGCAGCTCTTGCGGTAGGAGCTCCACACGCTGCCACTGCGGGATGGATGACGCGGGGCGGGAGTGACCGCGGGTCCCCTGGGGGGACCAGCCTCCACCAGCCCTCCCCCAGGCCCGGCCGGCCTCACCTGGTCTGCCCTTTGACCTCCGTGAGGTCGCCCACGCTCACGGTCTCGAAGATGCCCGTGTTGAGGTCCCAGGCCACCTTGAGGCTGGTGTGGTAGGTCTTTGGTCTGCAGTGTGACAGACGGAGGGGTGGTGGGTGGGGGTCCAGGCGAGCCCTGGGGGCTTCCGGTCTTGGGGGCGCCTGCTGGCCCGGCCCTGTACACTCACCGGAGCTGGCCCTCCTCGGTGGGCGAGGGGAAGGCCAGGAGCAGCAGGCCGATGTTAATGAGTACCTGGCTCGTCTCCGGGCAGACCTGGGGGACAGGGGCAGGGTTCCGGATGCGGAGGGCGCCCCTGGGGGCGGCTGTGGCTGCCCATCTGCCCCGGGGGGCTCACCTCTAGGATAACTATGTCATAGTCGCTGAAGGAGCAGAACTGGTGACCCCAGGTGGCGTCATGACGGATGACCTCATTGATGACGTACTCGAAGTCCAGTGTGAGTTGTTCCACCGTCAGGTACTGACCCTGGTCACAGCGAAGGGGCCCCGCTCACAGTGCAGCCCACCTGGACCACTGTCCACGCAGGCCCCGGCCACCTGGACCACTGTCCGCACAGAAGCCCCCCTGCAGCCCACCTGGACCGCTGTCCTCTCCCGCATGGGCCGCAGGTTGCGGCCTCGCAAGTCCGTGACCACAAACGGCAGGGAGATCTTGTCATCTTCAAACTCTGGGGAGGAAGGCAGAGGGGGCATGGGGGGGGGCCCGGCCACCGCCCCCACAATGCCCCCCACCGGCATGTGGCCCCAGACCCCCCATGCCTCACCATCCTCCGGCTCTGACCCCTCGCTGGAGCCCAGCACGTAGTACAGCTTGGTGTAGTTGACGTAGCCCGGCTCCGGGGCCTCCGTGGGAGCGGCAGTGGTGGCAGCAACGGGGCTGTCCTGGGGTGCCACCTCCCCACCTCCACACGGGGTCAGGGGCTCGGAGGGGGTTCGGCCTTGGCTGCTAGAGGGTTCCGGACAGGCAGGCGGCCGGGCCTCCTCAGGGGGGGCCCCCTTGGCCTCCCGGGCCCTGCGGAAGATGTCGGCCACGAACTCCTTGGCCATGGCCATGGCCGGCGAGGACTCGGGGAGCCCGGGGGACTGGGCTGGGGATGCCAAGGCCGCCTCGGGGCAGAGGCCGGGGAGGGTCGGGGGTGCCTCTGGGCTCTGGGGTCCCGGGGGGCTGGGTGGGGCTGGGGGGCAGGCTGTGTGGTCGTAGAGGATTTGGCAGAAGTTGCTGTCACCTAGAGCGGGAAGAGCCAGAGGGAAGGCAGGGTCAGGAGACAGGGGCAGGGTAGACAGTGAAAGGACCAGCGGACATGACCCGGGCCTCCCAGAGAAGGAACTCCTCCAGGGTCACACCCTGGGAGAGGATGCTGGTGCCCACGGGGCGGGGCGTGGCCGTGGCACTGCCCTGCCTCCCCATGCCAGTGAACGGGAGCTGAGGCCCTGTCCCTGTGAACCCGGAGGGGCACTGTGGGTCAGGCGCTGAAGCGAGGGGCAGTGCATTGGTGTTGCAGGGCTCAGAGACAACCCGAGGCCTCCAGCCCGAGGGCAGGTCCCTGTCACACTGGCTAACTCTGTCTTCATTCACATCCAAGGCCTCCATGGTCACAAGCGTCCACCCTTTGCCACCAACCGAGACCATGGGGCAATGTGCTAAGTACCCTGCAGGCCTCCCACCAGCACCACCAACGGGCATCTCCAGGAGCCAGTCCTGTTAGGTGCTGCCCCATCACCTCTCCTTTCAGGTCCAGCACTGTGGCACAGTAGGTTAAGCCTTCGCCTGCAGTGCCAGCACCCCCCCCATGGGTACCGTCTCAAGTCCTGCGGCTCCACTCCCTACTGACGTGCCTGGGAAAACAGCGAAGGATGGCCCAAGTGCTTGAGGCCCTGCCACCCACATGGGAGACCCAGCGGAAACTCCTGCCTTAGGCCTGGCTCCAGCCCTGTGGCCGCTGGGGAGTGAACCAGGACAGCTAAGTGCCTTTCAAGTAAATAAATCAGTACTTAGAGAAAAAGAAAAAACTATAATGCAGAGCTCGCTCCCTGGGCCCAGAGATTCCTGTAGCTACGACGGAGGCCTGGCTCCATCCTGTCCCGGGTGCGTGGTGGGGGCAGTGCGGGGCCTGCTAGCCTCTGTGGCCTCGGACAAGCATCATCCCACGCAGGCACCTGCCCAGTCGGCTGTACGTGGGGCGGGGCGGGGCGGGCCTACCCGGCGCGTGCACGGAGACGGCGCAGGCCACCAGGGAGTAGCTGGTGTTTAGCAGCACCACGTCGTCCTTCTTGAGCTGGAAGGCCGGCTGGAAGGTGGGGAAGGGGTACACCACCTGGTACTTGGTGTGCAGCATGAAGCCGTGCCGCAGGCACTGCGCGCTCGGGTCACCTGCCAACACACACGCCGGGCGTGGTGAGAGGCAGAGCGGAGCGGCCGAGTGGGCGCCAGGGTGCCCACAGGAGGCGCCCTCACCTGGGTGTGCCCGGCTGGCGTCCTGGCAGGCGGCGCAGCGGCCAGGCGGCGGCACGGCCACCGTGCTGATATAGATGTCGCGATGATTCTCGTCGCTCATCATCATCATGTTCATGAGCATCCCGTTGGCAGAGCGCGTGCTGGGGGCGGGGCCACAGCTCAGCCGCGTGCCCCCTGCCCAGGCCCCACTGCCCCTCTTACCCCACCCCTACCCCCTAGACTCACTTGAAGCCGAAGACAATGACCTTGGAGGCATCACTGGGCCACTCGCACACGGTGAGATACAGGTCGCTGTAGATCTCTTCATCCTGGAATAGCCGCACCTGCCGGACCTGAGTGATGGGGGGTGGACAGGCAAGGCCAGGGCTCAGGGCAGCCGGCACCCTGCAGCGGGGGTGCACCCAGCTCCCCCCAGGTGCCTGTGTACGCTCAAGGGACTGCACCCAGCGCCAGGGAGGCGGGGAGGGAAGGCCCACCAGCTGTGTCCACTAGGAACACGCAGCCGGGCCCGGGTGGGGGCATGGCAGCGGGGCCCGGGTGGGGGCATGGCAGCGGGGCCCAGGCGGGGGCATGGCAGGCGGGGGCATGGCAGCGGGGCCCGGGCGGGGGCATGGCAGGCGGGGCAGGCCCTACCAGCTTGAGTTTGCTGTGCACGTTGAACTCCCACCAGTACAGGTGGTAGATATAGAAGGAGAAGTCGTCGCCGCTGCTGCTGGTGTAGGACAGCACGTAGCGGCCGCACTTGGAGAAGCCCAGGAAGATGTGCCTGCGGTCGGCGGGAGGGCAGGAGTAGAGGGGTGAGCGCCAGCCCCGCTCCCCGGCCCCGCACGCGTGCCACCCACTGCCAGCTCACCCGGCATAGAGGAAATCTTCGTCCACGATGTTCTTGAGGGACACGCACACCCTGGGCGGCAGCTTCCGGAAGAGGCGAGGGGAGAGCTGCCCGCTGATCTAGGGGGCGGCAGGGGCTCCTCAGGCACCGGCTTGGCCCCGCCCCTCCAGACCACCCACTCCCGGAAAGGCCAGCCCAGGGTAGGTGCCAGGCTCTGGCAGGTGCCAACGTCTGGTCCCCTGGCCATGCCAACCTGGCTGCTTCACTGCCTGCCCGGGGCCCCCTTTTTCCATGCCCCTGGGGACAGCCCTGGCACACAGAAGGCAGAACCCCTCATCCCCAAAACGTCACCAAGGAAGGGCATGGGGAGAGCAGAGCTGTGGGGGCCTGGGCTCAGCTGGCCAGGGTGTCCTGCTGCCCAGTCCCATGGCCTGCCACCGGGAGATCCCAAGCTGCTGGCACTCATGTCAAGGCGGACGGCTGGGACGGCCAGCTCTGCCCTCAAGGAGACCGCAGCCTGACGGGAGAGGCCGAGGACCAGGGCACTTACAAGCCAAAGGTGAGGTCCCAGCAGGCCAGAGTGGGGTGGGGGTAGGGACCATCCCCCATGCACCCCAGGAAGCGCAGTGTCAAGTGGGACGGGGTGGGGGAGCAGCAGCTCAGGGTGGGGTGTGGTGGTAGGGAACACCCCCCCAAGCACCCCGGGAGTCTCAGAGTCCTACGGAGTGGGGTTGGAGAGCAGCAGCTCAGGGTGGGGTGTGGGGTCGGGGCGTCATCCCGGCCGGGGTGTCCAGAGCTTGCTAAGAGGCTGACCCCAGCCGCAGGCCCCGTGGCCAGGACACTCCCAGCTCTGCCCTCCCCGGGGAGCGGCGAGGAAACGCCCCCCGCCCCGCAGCCTCTTCAGAAAGGTCAAGGCCAAGGTGCGCCGGCTGCCACTCGGGTCCCGGAAGGATTGCTTCCGGAGCCATCGCCTCAGGGGGCTGCCTCCTGACGCCCCGAGCCCCGGCCCCAGCCTCCATCCGCTCGCCCGCCGCGGCCGCGGCCGGCCCCTTCCCCCGGGAGACCCCGGCCCGGCTTCCTCCTTCAGCCCCCCCACGTCGGGGCCGGGGTCCCCGGCCGCCCCCACGCGCATGCTCACAGCACGCCCTCGCAGGCCCGGAGCCCCACCCCGGCCGCACCCCAAGTCCCCTGCCGCCCTCGGCACCCCATCCCCGCGCGCCCCCTCCTCGGGGCCCCGCCCCCAGCCCTCAGCCCCGCGAGCGCCCTCCCTCCCCTCCGCCGCCCTCGTCGGCCCCTTGGCGTCCGCCTCCCGGGGCTGCGGGCCTCACCTTGACCCGCTCCAGCTGCTTGAGGACGTGCTCCCGCCGTCGCCCCGCCGCCCGCTTGCCCCCGGCTGCCCCAGGGCCGCCGCCGCCGCCGCTCCCGGCCCCGCTGTTCCGCTCCGATTTCGAGCTGGGCGCCATTTTCACCCCCTCCCTCCACTTCCGGAGCAACCGGTCCCTTCGCCCCACCCCTGCCGCCTCCGGATTGGCCTGCGCTCCGGACGGCGGCCCGACGATTGGGTGAAAGGCCACACTCAGGGCCTCTTCCCGCTACGCCTGTCCGTCAAAGCTGTTTCGGCTCCCGATTGGAAGCGATGGTAACAGCCCCCGCGGCGCCGTTCCCTAGTCCCGCCCTCCCGGTAGGATGCCCCAGTCACAAGCTCCGTCTGCTCGCCCCGCCCAGAAGGCCTGATCCGGATAGGAGAAGGCACTTGTCCGTCTGGGCGGCGTCACGCCCTGCTGTGGCCGGTGGGTTTCCATGGAGACCATAGACCTCCAGGCTGGGTGATGACAGCCTCTGTGGTCCAGAAGCGTCTGAATCCCAGAACCCAAGGCTGTTTGCGTCCAACCCGCGTGAGCAGCGACTGGCGCGCATCCATCCCTGCGCCGCCGGCCTGGGTCAAGGGCAAGGATTTGCAAAACAAACAAAAATTAAAAGATCTGTGACGGATCTGGCGCCTTGGTTCAACAGGTCAATCCTCCACCTGCAAACGCTGGCATCCTATATGGGCGGCCCCACTTCCCACCCAACTCCCTGCTTGTGGCCTGGGAAAGCAGTGGAGGACGGCCCCAAGCCTTGGGACCCTGCACCCACGTGGGAGACCCGGAAGAAGCTCCTGGCTCCTGGCTTAGGATCAGCTAAGCTCCCACTGCTATGGTCATTTGGGGAGTGACCCAACGGCTGGAAGATCTTTTTTTTTCTACCCTTCTCCTCCAGAAATCTGCCATTCGAATAGAAACAAACTTTTTTTTTTTTAGAAGAAAAGGATAATAAAGAAGCACTAGTTTGATTGGGTGATGTTGGTGACAAATAGGGGTTCACACAGAATTGTGACCTCACAGTTACCCCCAAGTAATTGGGTCAATGTTGTGCCCATTATGCAGAGGGGGAATTTCTGCCTCAAGCGTTGTCTTCTTCCTCTGATGATCTGGAATATTCCGCAAGGTGATCCCCGAGGCTCTGTGTTAAAGGGGTGGCCCAGGGACAGGATTGAACTTAACATTTAAGATGCTATTTGTGTGACCTGAGTCCTTCTGAGTCCCTAGGTCCCTGCTACCCACGTGGGACCTGTCCCGACTTCGGCTATTGCGACCGCATGGTGAGTGAACTCGAGATAGAAGAGATCTTTTTTTTTTTTTTAATATATTTTGTTTTGGTAACCTTTACATAGCTGGTTAGGGCAAAAAGGTCAAGGGTTACAGGAAAGTGGGTAAGACCATTGTTTTCACGTTGATTTTTTTTCTTTTTCCTGTATGGGGAAGATAGAAGCGATCTTTATCTCTATGCTTGTGACACTGCCTTGCAAAGAAATCCGTCTTAGAGGCTCGGCTACACTGCAACTACCTTCGCCAGAAAGAGTCTAGGGGGATATGTAGGTCCCATAGGGCTGGTTTGTTGGTTCATTCATTCTTTCTTTCTTAGATTTATTTATTTTTATTAGAAAGGCAGATTTATACAGAGGAGAGACAGAAAGATCTTGTATTCGCTGGTTCACCCCCCAAATGGCCACATTGGCCAGAGCAAAGTTGATTCAAAGTCAAAAGCCATGTGGCTTCTTCCAGGTCTCCCATGCGGGTGCAGGTCCCAAGGTTTTAGGCCGTCCTCCACTGCTTTCCCAGGCCACAGGCAGGGAGCTGGATGGCCACGCCGCCGCGTCCAGACTAGGGTCTTCTTTTTCACTTTTCCTTCTGCCACTATGGCTGGGGGTAAGGGTCCTTCCTATCTCAGAGGCCCCTCCCATTGCTAGGACGGGAGCCTCTCTTCTCAACTTTACTAGTAAATCTTGTTTTAAAACTAAACTGTGTCCGCATGAAAATTCTTCTTTCCTGCGAGACAAGAATTGAGGATGCTGGGCCCGTCGGCGTGGCCTAGAAGCTAAAATCCTTGCCTTGAACGCGTCGGGATCCCATATGGATGCCGGTTCTAATCCTGGCAGCTCCACTTCCCATCCAGCTCCCTGTAGTTGTAGTCAATTGTGGGGAGGGGGATGAGCCAACGGATGAAGGAGCTCTCTCTGTTTTACAAATAAAACAACATAAATCAGAGAAAAAGAGGAGATTCTGTTTATGTGGAAAAATGGGGACTCCCTGATGGTTGCCAAAGTTGCCGGAGGAGAGTGGAGTTTGCATTGAGCCCGGTGCCTCACTGTAAGCACCAGTGATGGACATGACCCGGTGTCACCCACCAAATAAAGGCAAAACAACCCCCCTTCCAGCTTTCATGTCAAGGGCAGTTTAAAACTCGCTTGCATACCTGCTCCTGGCTTGTCTCACTTCTGTAGCTCCCTGCTTCTCCTCTGCCTTGCTGCCGTGCAGGGGAGTGTTGAGTTGAAACCAAAACAGTAAATACGGCTCATGGCTGGCTGCAATACTTCTGCTTTACTTGTTTAGCTAAGAGACTGTGAGCTTGCAGGCCTCATGGCCTGTGCAACCTTTATTTTAGTGTCAATGGCCCCCCCAATCTCCACGAATCAAATCCCCGGCCTAATTAATCCAGAGATAACTCCACCTCTTAGACAGGCTGCCAGCTGGTGGACAGAATGTGCCCCTGGATCCAGCGATGCCTGAAGGCTCCATCCTCCCCGTCTTTTTCCCCTCCCATTTTCTAATCCCTGACTTTGTTTGCATGAACTGGGGCGGTTAAGGCCCTTGGATCTCTCATTGGAAATTGTCCTGTCTGGGCCAGCATGGTGGCCTAGCCAGCTAAGCCCCTCTCTGGGGTATGCGCGTCCCCTATGGGTGGCTGCCAGCAGGAGACGCAGCTGCTCTGCTTCCACTCCAGCTCCCTGCTAAAGCACGTGGGAAAGCAGCAGGACACGGCCAGGTGTTTGGGCCCCTGCACCCCTGGCTTCAACCTGGCCCAGCCCTGGTTGCTGTGGCCATCTGGGGGCTGAATCAGCAAAAGGAGAAGGTTGGGCTTCGAGAGGGTTCTCTGTGGCCGAGGCTGAGGGGAACCTGACCTTGAACCCATGCAAAGAAACTCAGGCCAGCTTCCCTGTGGAGGGAGGGTCTGCCGTGCCAGCTGCAGTAGCGTGGACATTTTTGTCTGTCATCTTAAAACTTTGATCCCACCTACTAGATTAGTTGGGGCCCTAGGTTTGTTTGGGGGGGCACCCATCTCATGCTTACTCTATAGGACCAGGGCTCTGGGGACACATGTCATCATATCATTTCTGTCCAGGACACCTGTGCCCATGTGGGGAGGGATGTCAGCTGGCAGGCTGGCTGGCTGGCTGGCTGTTGAGAAGGCCGAGGGCAGAGGGACCATGATACAGAGCAGAAATCAGGGTTCCCAGTGTGGCCCTTGGGTCTCCGGGGAACCCCTGGCTGCCACTGCTGGGCACTGTCTTATGCCGTGCCGCCTCCCCCCCCCCCCAAGCTTCTTCCTGTTCCGCGGCCCCACCCCTACTTGCTGTGGTTGGCCCAAATACCAGACCAGGCAAATCTCAGCTTTTTTTTTCCCCCAAGCATTCCTGGTTCCTTTGGCCCAGCCCAGGCTGGCTGAGGTTATAACAGTCCCAGTGGTTGAGACAGAGGTGGGGAGTGAATTGGGGGGGTGGACAGAGAAGGGGGAACAGTTCTCTTACCAGCTCATCCCGCCTCCTCCTCCAGACAGACCTTCCCCAAGGGCGGAGAAGGGGATGGGCCAGCTTCCCCTCCCACCCCACAGCCCCTGGGAGGAAACTGGTGTGTGTGTGTTGGGGGGGCGAGGGGGGGTTGCGGCTGTGTTTTGTTCTTTGAGATGGGGATGGGAGGGTGGCCCCAGCAGTCTCACCAGGAGGTGGCCGCCTGGATTTTATTAGGGAGCCCCTGAACGGCTGGCAGTGCTGGCGAGAGACTGACTATGGTGAGGTGGGGCAGGGGAGGGCTGAGGATGTGGCCGCCCCCTCTCTCTCACACACACATGGGCTCTGGTCACTGGCTGCTGGGTCCATGCCTGCCGCCCACCCCCATCTAGGCCCTCCCTAATGAGGGGCTGTTTTGGTTCTCATTGATGACTCTGTCTCCCCTCCCAGCCTGGGAGCCGCCTGCTGCTGCTGCTGCTGCTGCTGTCGGGGCTCCGGCCCATCCCCGCCATGGAGGAGGACCCCACTTTTCCCCACCTGGGGGAGAGCTCACAGCCCCCGCCCCGGGCCTGTCCCTCGCGCTGTTCCTGTCCCCGTGCGGACACAGTGGACTGCGCTGGCCTGGACCTACGGGTGTTCCCAGACAATATCACCAGGGCCACTCAGCACCTCTCCCTGCAGGTGCATGGGGAGGAGGGAGGGGAGGCCCAGGGTCTCTCAGGGGTGTGGAGTGGGCAGATGTAGGACAGAGGAGCTGGCAGGGACAGGAGCCACGGTAACAGTGTCCGGGTGGACACTGCACTGTGCAGGGCTGAGATCCAGGGTTATCTGGGGGGCACGATGATGGGGGTGATTATGGGGTAATGGGCCATGGGGGTCTCTGAGATTTAGGGGTTGCTGGAGGTCAAAGGGGTGGAGCTTTGGGGGGCCATGGAGGTATAAGGTCCCGGCAATGGCTGCTCATGTGGGGATGCCTTGGTTTGGGGGTCAGCATGGAGAGAGCTCCGGCTGCACTGTGGGTTTATGGGGTTGGAAGGATGCCCCTCGGGGTCACTGTGGCAATGGTGATGTATCCTGGGATATTGAGAGTCAGGCCTTAGGGTCACCCTCACTCTGCATGCCCCCTGGCACCCCCCTCTGCCCCCCAGAACAACCAGCTCCAGGAACTCCCCTACAATGAGCTGTCTCGTCTCCGGGGCCTGCGGACCCTGAACCTCCACCACAATGTGCTGTCCTCGGAGGGTGAGTCTCCCCTGGTGTGTGCCCTCCGCCCCCTTCCTGCCCTGTGGGGCGGCTGTGGGCAGCGCCTGTGGTTGTTCCTGGAAATGTTTGCTGAGCCTGGTGGAAATTCAGGGG